GTGTTAGTCGGAGCGGTAACCGATAAGTATAGGGCCGAAGGACAGGATGGTAACGCCATGCCCATGCCTGCCATGGACGGGCCGCCCCTAGACGAGTTATTGTGCAATTTGTTGTCCGCGACTGTGATGTTTATAGACTGAAACGCCGCTACTACCTCACGCTCGCTACAGCTTATCTCTAGTCCTCCGCGTCGCACCATGCCATATTTGTAGCAGTCTCATTTACAGACCATAGCTGAACTTTTAACACTATCGATATCCAAACGACTCTACCTGGTCTAGTCGGAAAGCGCTGTTTACAAAGCACAGTGCGATGCGAGAAGCTCATGACACTGCGAATAGCGACTTACTTTTACGTAATATCTCCACTTGTAATTCCTAAATATTACGGGTTAAAGTGATGAAACTGTTTATCGTTTGCCATATAATAATAATCATTTTTGTTGTTAGTAAGTAATTGTGCTCACTTTCATCTTAATTCTAAAACATTTGTACAGTTCAAGCATGGTCGTAATTATCTTAGTGAAATGCTCAATGTTTATGTAAGTTTTTGGTGAATACAAACAAAATTTGTCGCAATTCGCTGTTATACGTAATAATATGTAGGTAACTAAATATAAGTTTATTTTTCAATGATAGAGTGTAATGTTTTTCAGATCATCTATCGTAGGACACTATAAAGTTGTTGTAATTTTATGTAGGTAGAATATTAAAGTGTATAAGATAATAAGTGTCACTGTCTATGTGGGTTGTTTACACATTGTGTTAAAAACGGGTGAATCGGGCCTTTTATTTAATCTGTTACGTAATATTTTTATCAGTTCAATATCTACCTGCGTTAAGATGTAAAAATTATATGTTAATTTTGTCATATTGTTTAAGTTAACTCTTATATCCATACTTATTATTTTGTAATTCATTGAAAGACTGATTTGTTACTTTAGTCTAGTTTGAAAATGCCATAGATACGATTATATTATTATTCGCATATCTACATAATTTAAATATTAAGTCGGTGTGTGTAGGAACTACACTAGGAGGTCTCGCTGAGTTGTGCCTTTATTTTAACGAAAAATCGTGCGATGTATGTTAGGACATTCCAGTAGGTGCACATATGTGCTGTTGTGTTTGCTTTACCCAATAAGCACCGGGCATTTTCTTATTGGAAGCTTATAATGGAGTATAATATTTTTTGTAAGTAGTGTGTATAGGTCCGCATAGTGTCTCAATTTAAGTCGGATCCATTCTATACCTCAGTTTTGTTAAATTCAGATGTTATATGATTAAATATATATATACACTTATGTGCCTATAGATAAACATTTTTATTAAGTATGTTATGCACTCTTTTTTAGTTGTGAATGCAAATAACGTATGTATTTACTTTATGTAGTCTTGATAAAACTATGTAATTAAATCTTCATACTCTAAGTTATATTAGAATGAGTGTGACTATCTCGAACATACATACATATAGCTCTTATAGTAAACTCTATATTTACAAATAATATAATGTTATAAATATAAATTAAACGTTTAAAACTTACATAGTATTTATTTTAAACCTAAATGCTACACACCTTATTTGGGGTCGTGTAAAAAGTACCAACTTAGATTACAGTAGGTATGGAATTCATTAAAAATAACATTACAATAAAAAATATTTTATATATTGCTTACAGACATTTCGAACCTTAATTTAAGGTTTAATGACGACCTTAAGCTGTAAATCGGTTTCAGAGAAAAATGAGAAAAACCTGAATTTTTATCCTCGACCTTCGATATTTTTTTTTGCAGAAATAGGATCGATGTGGATTTTTGTCATTTTTTTGTTAGCATTAATTTTCAGCTCTATGCGAATTTTGTCTAACTCACAGATTTTTTATCTATTTTGAATTTAAATCATTACTGTAAGTCTCTTAGCACGCTCTTTTTATTATGTAGTGTTTTGGTCAGGGCAGGCATTTCATTGCAGAGGCTGATTTGCAAGCTTGGCCGCTCTAGGACATCTTGTACTCAAATATTTAGCTCTCAAATTTAGGCACTACATATGAATTTATTTCCCTAACAACGTTTATTGAAATAAGTATATTCAATTATTTACTTCTGTTTAGGTCGTGATGAAATAATTTCTTATTGCTAACATCTGTTAATATAATTATGGCAGTGTAGACTAGATATGGCCACAATAGGATTATGTTGCATCTGACACAATAAACATCTGAGTAATCCTAACAGTCGTTCATGAAAATATGTACCTACTTCAAAATTTATATGAAACAGCTGTTTATTCCCATTTATATCTCAGCTCAGGATATCTGAGTTTTTTCTTCAATAAACAAATGAAAATACACCATTACCTAGTATTTCATCATTAGTTTTTTTACACACAATATTTTAGGCTATTATTGGCCGACCGAAGTCCAAACCTATTGTGGCCTTAGGGGAAAGTTGCCACTGATTGCTTGATACAACCCTTAAATAAATATGTATGTAAATAATCATAGTAAATAAAAATAGTGATAACGCCATCTAACCACTAGTATATACTAGTGTATAAACTAAGGCTATACATCTAACTAATACAACGCCCTCTATCGGTTTTAGTAAATATTGTTGACTTTAATAGTAAGGAGAACATAATAATTTCTGTCGTATCGCCGGGGTTGCCGCTTTCAGTTTCGTTTTCATCCAAGAGTATGACCTATGAGTATGACTATTACTTTATACTTTACATTTAAATTTAACATTACATTTAAAACGTAAATGTAAAGTACGGACTTCGATCAACAATGAGGAAGTATTTGAAGATAAAATAGAAAACACTAAAAGCACTTCACTAGATGGCGACTACCAAGTCGATTTTTGCAGGAAACGAATGGACCAAAGATAATAATTCCATTCCTTTTAACTAACATGTCAAACAACTGAAATTTTCTAACCAAAAGAAATAGGTACTTGTTACTTTTGGTTAGTTTGCAATAGACGGCGAGAGTTGTGCAGAAATATTTTAGAGGATTAAATAGATGGCGCTGACTTATTTGTATCAATATAAATGTTCATGTTATTTTCCAAAACATTTCAATATTTATTTTGTCTGTCAAACTTTTTTCCAAATAATTTGTAGTCATATTAAGGTTTCTATGCTTTAGTAATTATTCTAAAGGCAGATATCGCAAAGATGGCTGACGTAATGGACAACAAAATGGCAAAGAGCAATTATTTTTATTCGTAGCTATATGTCGTCGTTTTTATGCTCTATCCGAAAAACAAAGCGCATGTCTGAATTTGAAAATCTGACATAATCACTTTTAGTTTGACATTTGAAAGTTATACACTTACATAGAATTTATAAGTACTACGTACAGAGTACTTATTAATTCTATGTACACTTATACAACTATTTGACATCCAATAGTAACATAGAGTAAGGTAGAGTGGAAATATTTTCTATGGTTATATAAATATCATGCAATCTGAAGTTGACATCAAAAACATCATGTTGTCTTTTTTTAACTAATAAGAAGTTTCTTTAGTAAACAAAGATAACACTAGTGTGACAGTTCAAAATTTTTTACGTGACGTCATGAGATATAGCTATCGTACCACCTGTCAGCCATTTGCAAATTTGCTCTGCGTATTCTCGGAAGTAGTTCAGCTGTCAGTGTTATAAGTTTTGTGGTTATTTTCATTTATAACTTTAATTTATATAACTTTCATGGCAGAAAATTGTAAATTATTTATGCAAAACAATGCCTAGGTGCTGTATAATTGGTTGTGCGTCATCAATATCCCGCAAACCGAGCAATATTACGTTTCACCGGTAAGTTAAACACTTTCTTGGAATAACAGTATTTAAAACGTAAGTAAGTTATTCTGAAAATGATTGCGAGTATAAATCGATACATATCGTATTTTGGCGTGTTCTATTTATGCTATATTGCTCTTTTCTTTTATATATTTATAATATTTCGGTCCGTAAATAATATTGTTTACATGGCTAGTGTCGTTACTTTAACATATGGTTTATATCGATAATTTTAATATTTAAAAATATATTAATTATTTTAGAAATATTATAATATTAATATTTCTAAAATAATTAATATTATAATATTAGAATATTATAAAATTATATTATTAAATAATATAAATGTGAAAGTTTGTGAGGATGGATGTTGGTTACTCTCATGTAAAAACTACTGAACGGATTTTGATGAAATTTGGAATACGAATAATCTTTTACCCGTGGGAAGCGCCAGTCATACGCTGGTAACATATGTTATATTTACTATAGTGACGCAACGGAGTCGCAAGAACAAAGAACGCAAGAAATTTTAGATGTCCAACAAAATACGAGCAAAAGCTTGCTTAATGATTTATAAATAATTGATAAATTCACGCCACTTTTAAAAAAATATTATTTTCTTGATACTGGCGTGAATTTTTCAATTTAATTAATAATAATCACAAATAGGATTGGTACGTAAGTGTGAAATGAATAGAAGTGTAATAGGTAATAGTTTAGCCATGCCCCTAACAATGAAAATTATATTATATTATTTAATAAGTAGTAGTATTGTAGCAGTTTCACGAAATACTAACTTTTATTCAATATGACTTCAATGTCGATACAAATAGCGATATCTTGGGTCACGCCCTATGACAATCCGCCATCGAAGAATTTGCATTTGAAGTTTAGGCATATACGCTTTTTTCGTAGGTATGGCCGGTCCTCTTCTTTTATGTCTAGTTTTTTTTAAATACCTCCTTATTGCGATCATGAACTTTTTTTAAGGTAACTAAATGAACGATATCCTCAATATGACGTTGTATGATTTTAAGATAACATACCCGTGTTTGTACAAGCTGTTGTTGGACTGGATTATTTTTCTCAGAATGCCTTATGAATTTGTAAAACGTGAACGTAACCATAAAAGTGACGTAAAATCATGCCACTGTTTTCCTGGACGTTCATTGGTCATAGTAATCATCATCAGATGTCAGTCAAACGAAGTGGGAATGCCGAAAAATATAAACAAAATTATTTTATATAGAAGATAAAATTACAAATTCCTTAAAAAAATGGAACCAGACGAAGCTTTTTTGAATCCCGATTCATTAGATATCCAAGAAATGTCTGAAATAACTGGTAAGAATGATTCCAACCTATTTTTGTAATGATTTCATCAGCTTTAGAGCTACGTCGTAAACACTAAATTTATTGTTTCAGATTTTCTAAGTAACTGGGATGACGCATTTTTGAAAAAATTAGAAGAAGACCTCGCGAGTTCAGACGATTCCTTGTTATTAAGTGTGGATACCCAAATTAGTCGCAATGAAAATTCACCTAAACCAGAGTTATCACCGCACTATCATAGCCCTGGAAATCCACTTGTATCCCAATACACGCATTCTATTAGACAATCGGCACAGTCGTCACCAGTTACTCATAGCACCAATGCACAGCGATCTGCCCAAGTGTCACCACAGAGGCTTAATTTGCGTCAGTCGAACGAGAACACGACAATTCCTGAGGTCTCGATGAATACTACGGTGCCTCCTCAAACTCCAATGATCGTACAGCAAGTTGTCCCACATCCTGTATTTGTTAATGTACAACAGCTTCCAGAATGCAGCGGATCTTATGTACAGTTAGATAGTGTTCCTCAAGTCAAACAGGCAAATAAGGCACCTCAAATTTCTCAGCCTGTGCTAATACAGAATAGCCCGAAAGGAATAGCACCACTAATCTTGAAAACTACAGATGCTAATTTTCAACCAGTGATTTTACAATCAAATTTAATTAACCCAGAAGGCCAGACAGTGATGTATACTAGCGCACCTATTCAAGGTTAATATAAGTTTAAGATCAAATTAATTAAAAATTAATCAAATTAATTAATTACAACTTTTCCTTAAATAATGACTCTTATAATGAGGGATCAGATAGCTTTCAGAAAAATGTTTTCAATTTAATCAATATGGATGCTTCTTCACACAAAAAATATAAATTTATGTAAATGACCCTTATAGTGTACCCTAAAATGTATTTTTTTAAACTTTATAATTGAACTCGATAATTTTTTTTACCTAATCACTGTCTTATCCCCTATTATAACACAAAGTTTAAATTAATTAAATTTAGTTTTCAAAATTATAGACATATATGTTTCTTATATGATTGCTTACAGGCACTACACCAAATATTTTAAATCCCAAAACAAGTTCAGAGAGCCGACCTATCCGTACATTTTTTACAAGTGATACTGGGACTCTTTTAACAACTGGTATACCAGTTGTGTTAGATGGTGACAAAATTGCACTGAATCATGCAACAAATATTGGTCCGCCTAAAGTAAAAGAAGTTAAGAGAAGTGCTCACAATGCCATAGAAAGGAGATATAGAACCAGTATCAATGACAGAATAGTTGAACTCAAGAATATGCTAGTAGGAGAGGAGGCAAAGGTATTTTTTTTCTTATTTTTGCTTGATGACAGTTGTTTTTTAAAAATCTAAATCAATATCTCCAGAATGAACACTAATATCATTCACTTTTTTTCCAAAGTACTCTTAATAAATTTTTATTATTCTACAACATTTTTGGATTAACTTACTTTGGTCAGGTATTGGTTTATCAACCTATGTTGATGAGCTATTTATTTTTTTAACTTATATATTGAACAGTCTTACACAATTTAGAATAAGCAATAAGAAAGATATAAAAATAGACTAAGAGTTCTGAGTTGAGATAATGATGAGGATATCCTCAAGCTCTATTTAAAATTCTTTAAAAATGTTTTGAAGTTTAATACTGTTTCAGCTAAATAAATCTGCAATTTTAAGAAAAACTATAGACTACATAAAATACCTTCAAAATCAAAATACAAGGTTAAAGCAAGAGAATATTGCATTGAAGATGAAATACCAGAAAGGTGGTGCCAAAGAAACTGCATTTGAAGGAAGTTACACACCACCACACAGTGATATTTCCTCCCCATATCACTCTCCACATCCTGCAGACAGTGATTCCCCATCATCACCTGATTATAAGGTACTGCATTTTATTCAAATTTGTATATTATTAATATGATAGTAAAAAGACGGAATCCATAAAATACCCAAAATGATTACAGAATTTTCGCAGTCAAATGAAAATGAGTATAAAATATTTGGTTTTTTACAATTATTTTCAGCAATATTATAAATATAATAAGCATAAAAGTGTGATTATCGGTAATAGTATATTAAACACAGAAATAAAAATGTATTAATTTATGTTTACCTGTATTTAACACCATGGCAAATGCACTTCCTTTAGGCATCATTCATTTATTATGTAGGTGATTTTTGTTAGTTTTTGGCTCTATCTCCTCATCTTATGTACAAAAACATTAAAATATGGAATGTAGACCTGCCCTTGTTTAATGATAAATATTACATAAAAAACTGAGGGAAAACTGATTAAAAAATAATTTACTGATGAAATATAATAAAAGAAATATTTATTAAATAATATATAGGTTATTATTTACATTGTTAAGCAACCTTCGCAAAGGTCGGTTACGGGATGGGTGAGCTAAAAGTTATTTTCTCAAGCTGCATTTACAGTCAATAATACCCTCCAATCTGCATCAGATCAGTGTGGAAGGTCATGGCCCAGCCTCTTTAACCATCCATAAGGAAGGCTTGAAACCCCTTCAGCGGAGACGTAAAAGGGATGATGATGATAATACAAAGTAGATTTACTTCCAAGCTAAAGCGAGTATAAAAAATAGAATCCGAGTTATAATGGATTTTTTGCACTACTTTCCAATACCAAATGCGAAAATATGAAATAATGGATTTCGGTTTCAAATTGAATTTGTAAGCAGAGAAAAGAAAGATTTCATTCTTATTCAGAACACATGACTTATTCTAGATATAGAATTATTTGTTCAGAAATAAAAAATATTTTGTTTGTGGTGTTTATATTAGCTGTTTTCCCATAGGTGAAAGAGTTTCAAAATGGGTCCAGTAGTTAAAGAGTCTATTTGATGCAAACAAATCAAATCTTCCCTTTTCATAATATTAATATAGATTAGTTGTAAAACTAATATTTCCTTTGTGTGCTTGTAGGTACTAATAAATCTTCACTTAAGGAATTTTTGTGTTCTTTTCTAAGAACAATCAAGACTCAGGATATTGCAAAAAAAAAGATATGACTGTCTATCCTTTCTCTTGTAGTTACTGATAAAAATAGTTCTCAAATTATTATTGTTTCAGATGGAAGAAAAATATTCAAAAATTGTTATGGGCATGGGCGATCACTCCCGTTTAGCGATGTGCGCTTTTATGGTTGGATTAATAGCTTTTAATCCGTTTGGGTTATTTTTTGGAAGCTTTGTATCAGAGTCTGCATCCAGTGACTTTTCTGCTAGACTTGATCAAAGAAAAATATTATCTGATGAACATAGTAGTGAGTAAATAATTTATTAATAAATCTGCATACTGTCTATGCTATTTAATTTCCAAAAACCTTATTTAAATTAATTTGAGAAATTTTTCCATACTATTTAGTGACCTGACATGACTGTAGACGACTGTACATTTCAATTACAACTTGTCTATTAATTTTAATAAATCTAAGCTTTAAATATTTCAAATTGTACCACTTAGATTTATTCATAATTCTTTGCATAAAAAATATTTGAAATTGATTAATGTTTACTTTGTTTTGCAGATATTGGATTGTCGCCTGCCACTTGGTTCTTTAATACTTTCTTCATATATCTAATAAATTTTTTGATACTTGGAGGTTGTCTTGTCAAACTCTTAGTTTATGGGGACTCTGTACCTAAGTCTCAATCTAAAGAAGCTGGGCTTTTTTATAAACATAAAGAACAAGCTGATAATTTTATTAAAAAGGTAGAACATTTATAAATACAAATACATTTAATTATGAATACATGAATTTACCTTAATATATCTACATAATAAATTTATTTGAAATATTCATTATATGCCCTTCATAAAATGGGTGACCGATAATTTATTACCCTGTGCTCCTCCAAAAGGCAAGTTACCCATTATTCCCTGATGTATCTGCAGTCATTAATATCCACCAATCCGCACTGAACCCGTGTGGGATAATATCCCGTTATTAAATTTAATAATAGTGATAAATAATTAAAGAAACCTGTATTGAAGATAATATCTGTGGTAATAATAAAATGACTATAGTCTAATCGCCAAACAAAACTTCGCACAACGACTTGCATATCTCTACTTGTGTGCCAACATATTGCGCGCGCACATATGCATGTAGTCAATTTTGTCATGGTGAAGTAAAGCTTAAATTAATCTGTTAGGCGACCGGATTGTAGTAGAAGTTGCTTGAATTATTTTCACTTTTATTAAACATGTGTGCAGTTTTCTGCACAAAGTATTTAAAATGGTCAATTTTTTTAAATTGCTCGTTTTTAATAATTCCAGGGTGATATTTCAAATGCGCAATTAGAACTGCAAAGATCTCTAGCGGTTTGTGGTAAAAGTGTACAAGCTGGAGGTCGTGGACAGGCCGAGTTTACAGCCCTAGCTGCGGCGGTGCTTCGACAGGTGTTGCAGAGATTACCTCTAGGTGGATACCTGGCACGACGCGCCGGCGATCTGTGGAGCGACAGGTATTGTAATTGGCTAACTAGAAACAGACAGATATTATAATTATCTGACTGTTTATAAACTTAAACCACTAACAGATTTATTTCTTTGTCAAAAATTGTTATCAAATAAAGGAAAAACATTTTTTATCCATAATTTAAATTGACCCGCGAAATCAATCACTAAGGGGCTGGCCACGAGTTTAGGCTAAGCGAATTGCGGCGCGTCATGCAGTGCGGCGGCGGCGAGCGGCGCGTTGACCATGCCACGTACACTTAGTAGCGTCTAGCGGCGGTAGCCCGGCGGATGTATTTAGAAATGGCTTTGTCTAAAGTGGCACTTCTTTGTCTCGAAAGTAGTTCATATTTAGGGCAAGATATTATTAATTTAAGAAAAGGAGTGCACCGTGTGAACAAAGCGTTTTATAAAGAATTCTGGAAAACACAGTTTTATTTCATCCCACAACCTTTTAATCACATTTTTATATTTAGTTGGGGATGTTTTGACATCCATATTGGCGGTCGATCTAATATTTTTGTAATAAACTCCTCTGTATTCATTTAAAAAAAAACGCTCTAAATTCGTATAAAGTAGTTTGTTCGCAAAGCTGCGTCTCAAATACATCCACTCGCTGCCGCCGCCCGCGCCGCTATGTGTCGTGGCATCCCACTCGTTCACTCATACGTTTGTTCCCGCCGCTCCTAGACCCGCACGCCGCTGCCGCGATTCGCTCGAAGAATATCGCGCGCGTTTTCGCTACGAGCGGCGTTTCGTGGCATGCTTCGAACATTTTCATACTTTTGATTTTACCGCTGACCGCACCGCGCTAAGCTGCCGCTCTCAGCGGCAAGGTCGTGGCCAGCCAGTTATTCAAGGTAAAGAAGCCTACTCGAAAAACGACCAATTTTTGTGCCATTAATATTCCTTATTCAATGAAAAATATCTATTCAAATTGAGATCTAATTGTTCTTCTCCAACGTCTATGTACCTTATTTTTAGGTGATTTTTATGAGTATTTGTATAACATAAAATTGTTCAATTATTTAGGTGTATTGTATGAGTATTTGTACAACATAAAATTGTTCAATTTAACTTTATTTCTTATAGTCCTTCTAGAAAAGCGACACAGCGATGGGCAGCAGAAGTGGCAAGCGTGTCACATCGGTTGGCTCAGCTGGAAATGTTGTCGAGTCACAGTGGTAGAAGCGAGCGAGTACTATTGGCGCTTCAAGCTGTCAACTTGGCAGAGACTTCTGGGAACAAACAGCTCCTGGCCAACACTTACGTCACCGCTGCGTTGGTCTTCAAGGATTACATCCCTAGAATTGGCAATTGGCTTTGTGGGTTCGTAAGCATTTTGTTCAACAGTAATATAGAATAAAGAGTTTTTTTAAACAAGTTTTCATTTGTGCGCACTAAAACGTAAATAAATAAATTCTAAACATTTAAAGTATGTATAATCAAAATTGTCTCTAACAGTAATTGACTTGAAAAGCTTGTAGCGCTAATGAAATACGCGCTAACGCATTCTTTTCATAATACCGATACATTGTCTAATATGTTGTATTAAACTTTCATGGTCGGGATTGCTATCGTGTACCATATTTTTGTTGAGTTGAGATGAGTTTGAGTTACTTATAATAAATAGGTTTATTTATGTATGATTTAAATTAACGCTCGTAGTAAACAAACTGACAGGACCTCTAACGACTGTCGCGTCATCTAGTGAGGAAAAAAATGGTGGTCCTCAATCATTATATTTTGTTGCAGCTACTATTTGCGTTTATGCCGAGTGACGTCATCTGGCTTGTGCGCATCTCTTCCAGTGCGACTTCGTTGGGTGACGAGTCCTCGGGGTCAGAGCTTTCTACGTTCGCGACGATGGAATTACGAAAGAACACATCCATCTTCCGTATTATTCAGCAAATTGCCAGACCCCGCTGAGCCGTTAGATTACGCTATGAGGGTGAGTTAATTTCGTTCACATAGATAAGTTATAATTATATAAGTTACGTTTATTTTTATCGAAATCTGACCTCATTTCTTTGTTACAGGTCAGCTAGAAAAGCATTATTCTTATCTTTCCTTTGGTCGTCTTCTATAGATCTAGTTTACTTCTTTTCTGTCTCTATTATTATATATATTTTCGTCACGTCCATCTGTTTAACTCTTTATCGTTCTTTTGCTCAGATTAACTTATGACATATAATTTTAAACTTTTTGGTGAACTATTGCTATAAAATTTACAGACCTACCACCTGGACTTACTTCAGAAGAGTATGCAAATGCTCCTGTGCGTAGACGAGACGAGTAACACCCGTGATGTCTTAGATTTAATCAAACTCATCACTGACGATGTCTCTACTGAAGCTCCAGAGCATTCAGGTAAATTTTCGAATTCAAGGTTTTATTAGAGAATAAACAAATGTATTTGCGTTAGGCGCCACAAATTCTTTAGCTTCTTTGATATATCTAAAAGTTGAGTGTTTAGGATTTTTTCTAGGTTGTCTCTGGCTGTAACTTTTCAACTACGACCCTTTATATACAGTGTTATTAATAAAGCAGCCTCGCAGGACTAGATACCTAATATCATGAATAACAATTTAGAAGTTTTACCCTAATTCAATACGAGGAGCAAAGATATTATACTGTTGGGACATTTATAGGTTATTCATAAACAATAGGACGACATGTTATGCTTGCGCACTTTAGAGTGTGTCAAGTAAACAATTAACCCTGTATGACGAGAAATCGTTGGGTATCATTATCATACCTATTATCGTCCCCACTGCTGGGGCTCAGAATTTTCGTATGATTGGGATATTTGGGATCGAATCGAATAGGGAGAATCGGCAATGACTTACCACGCGGGCCCAGAGCGGATATGGCGGAGGTGGCTGTTAACAAATGTAAATGCAGACAGGACCAACGGCTTGACGTGCCTTGCGAAGTACGGAGGAGCTTTAATATTTATACAATACAGGAAAACGGTTGTATAAATATTTCGTATTTAGAAATATTTTACATTCACATGAACTCCTCGACGGTTCCATCGATAATTTTTAGTTTTCTTTGGTTTAAGATTTATATGTGAGTCTCAAATAAATTGGGGATAATAAATGTAACATCTAGGTTGTTGGGATCCCGTGCTGGAATGGTGGGCTAATCTCGTGGGTATAGCAGCTGCATGGTTGTTGGCCGACGCTAATAGCGCATCAGAATATGGGGATCGTCTGTACATGCTGCCGGAATCACTCTCCAAATCGGAAGATCCACTGCCTGGGTGAGTTTATAAAACACTCATTTTTAATCTTTGAAATACCTTTTCTTTTGGTTTAGGTGGTGGTACTTTAATATTAGGTCCTTACATATGAAATTACACGTGTATTTGTGTTTCGTTAGACGGCATTCATTTGCTTTTTTTTTAATTTCTTCTGTTTGTCCTATTTACGTCACCCAATATAAAAAATGGAAAACTTAAAATATAGTGTTATTTAGGAGTACGAGTTTCACCGTGGTACCAGTGCTGCGGAAACGGCTCGAAGGGTTAATGATGTGTATGGCGATTATGTCGTAAAAGAAAACTCAGTGCGTTTGTGGTTCCAACATTTTCGTTCTGGAAATTTCGACCTGCAGAGCAAGCCCCGTGGACGGCCGGAAATCCAAGTTAATAATAAAGAATTGAAGGCTATTTTGGAAGCGGATCCATCGCAAACCACGTCCGAGTTAGCTGCAGGCTGCGGGTGTTAGTGATAAAACTGAAAACTGTTTTAATCCACTTGAAGCAAATTGGAAAAATTCAAAAGCTTGAAAGTTGTGTACCTTACGAATTGAGTGAAGCAAACCGGCAAACGCGATTCGACTGCTGCGTTACATTACTTAACCAGCACAATAATTGAAGGTTTTTAAATCGATCACTGTGCTGAACAGTGGATTATCTGCGATACTCAGAAGTGCTTATCGCAAAGGTTGGACCCCGGCATGCCAGCCAAATCCTGCCTCAAGCGAAAATTGATCCCAAAAAAGTTACTTGTAAGCGTTTGGTGGACTAGTGCCGGTGTCGTTCATTACAGTTTACAGACGATTACGGCAGACGTCTTTTGTCAGCAATTGCAAATCATGCGGGAAAAACTACCTGTTAAACAACCGAGGCTGGTCAATCGCTCTACGTCACTGCTACTTCACGACAACGCCAGACCACACACTGCATAATAGACGGCTACCAAATTAGAAGAGCTTCAATTGGAATGTTTAAGACATCCACCGTACTCCCCGGACCTTGCTCCAACAGATAACCATTTTTTTCGCAATTTGTAAAACTTCTTCCAAGCGAAAAAATTCAACTCCGATGGGGCAGTGCAAATCGCCCTCAAAGATTTTATTGATTCCCGTCCGAATGGTTTTTTTAGTAAGATGATTACTGAACTACCTATGAGATGGCAAAAGTGCATAGAGCCTTCGATTAAATAAATATATTATATTAAGAAATATTAAACTTTTGTTCCTCCCATACCAAACACCAATTTCATATGTAAGAACCTAATATTAACGATAATACGCTCTACTAGCAGGAAATATAACGACTGTTACTTGTTATAAGAAGTTCTAAGGTGTCGTTGAAATCTTTGACATCTGTATTTGTAGAGCAGTCACTCAGCAAAAAGTTTGAGGCTCGTATGAGTACAAAATAACTTGATATAGATAACTTTTATCACTAGGCAACCATTTAGTGGGATAAAAAGTAGCTTTATATGTTAATCCAATTTGAATTCATAAAACAAATTTAGTACAACCACAGTAATGCGTGACTGGGTTAGATAGTATGGTTACAAAAGTTTGTATGTGACATTTTCTGTTATATAGACTAAATTTAAATATTATTATTACTTGGGTTAACTAGGTTAGTTGCCTGTAAAAAATCAACAACAACAACCATTATTTCATATTTTTGTTTTTTAACCAACTCCTAAATAGAAAAGAAAAAGGTTCTAGGTTGACATTTATGTATTATTAATGTAAGTTTCCTACAAATGAAAATACAGGTATCTGGAAATATAAAAAAATATATATATTAAATAAATACATATTCTTCAATTTATATTCAATAATAAATAAAATTAATTTATGTTTACAAAATTCATTTTATTACACCAATTCAAAAACACCCTATTAAGCTATGAGACTTTAAAAAAAGTAGGAATACATATTACAAAAAAATACTAAAATACATATGGCATTAAATTAATTACATAAAATTTTACAACTATAAACATAAACGCACAAATTACAAAGATTGCCCAGACGTTTTTCACTACAGTAGCGCGGCGTGACGTCACTTCGAGGCTTGAATTTGTAGGAAGCGTTTTCCGCCGACTAGCAGGAGTTCCACAAACATAGCATCGTATCTCCGAAGCTATTAGTCACAGATATTTGGTAACTTCTACATTATTTCTCAGATATTAATAGAATATTAATTTATATAATAAAAAATGAACTATTCTATTTATTGAAATAATCGGATTATCAGTTTGGTTTTATAACGAAATAACTGAAGCGTACTGCCATGTAACAAAAATACTGCGACGATACGTCGACGTCGAACAAAATTACGTTTTTTAATTTTCTATGATTTTTGTTAACTCAATTTTTTAAAATATAATATCATTGATATTAATAAAATAAAAATAAAAAAGTACATGCTTCTATAAATAGCGCCTATCACTTCTGTGTAAAGGTTAGGTTATATAGTTGAAATAGAATAGATTTGGCTTATTAAATTATTATTTTACTTAATATTTATATTTTTTTAAATACCCACGTCTATATTGGCCATTTGTCGCATAAATCCACTTTGCACTTAATTTGTCTAAATAAAATTTGTCACATAATTTCCCCTGACTTCACTCGCGCAAATTATAGATAATATCATCTGCGTATGATGTAGCGTTCCGTAGGTGAAACCATTTTTAAAATCGGTCCAATAGTCTCGAAGCCTATTCAATACAAACAAATAAGTATTCAATTTAATATAAAATTCATTAGTATAGATATACCAAACAGGAAAAAAATTATTATTATACACAGATACATTCTTACACATGCAAATGCTTAGAAATTCTAGACGTCGTGTTTATAAAACATGAGTGTATAGTTTATAGTTGGTCAATTAATAACTATTGTCTTTGGCTGCCTAAACATCAGCTGATGAGAATATAGCTATTGTGCTATTATTGCAGGGCACTGCATATGGCATACAAAAGCCGGCGCGGACTGCTGAGCCTCACTCAGTGTAAAGATGAACACAGTTTACAGAAGACGTCCGAAACTATTCTCAAGGTGAGTTAAAATATCATATTTAATTTTTTCTAACATTATTATCCTTTAAATTACTCACATTTGTGCTCCTTTACTTTTTTTGACTATTAATTATTTTATTTGAGTATGAGACACTGATTTATTCGACAAGTTTTTAACCAACTTCAATAAAGAAAGGCTTCTTAATTCGACTGCATTTTTTCGTGTACGTATTAACTTTCCTGCGTGTACCAATTTTGCTGCCTCTTTTTATGTTTGAAATTTGATGCTTTTCTTGTGGTCCAATTTAAATTAAAATAAGATTAGATCAGTATTACTAAATAGTTATTATAAGAAATAAAATAGGCCTTCAGGTGTCGTGTTGATTTGTTCAAGTAGTATTGGGTTTTATATTAAAGTAACTGGAAAATACAGAGATAGATGATCTTGTTACAAATTTTGATGATGATGATAATAATCATTGGATTGATCAGTCTGCCTTTGTAAATTTGATATAGTAGCAAGTTCCTTCTCCGTTTATGCTAGAAATTTCAAAAACAAAAAAGGCGATTAACAAATTGAATAAACTTCATTTGAAGTCGGCCGGTCAGAAGCCAGGCTCGCAAATCCTCCTCGCCCGTAAATGATGTTTCTTGAATTTTTTTAATTAAGAATAATTTTCCCTTTTCTTTTTATAATGACGGTTACGTTTCGTAGGTGTGCGACATTGCTGGAGCCAAGTTAGCAGACTCGCTGGCGTATTACTGTTGTAAACAGCCGACCCAGATAATAATGGTAAATTATGCACTATTTTCTTTAATAGTTATTTATTAATTGGTTATTCAACTTTGAGAAGCTGGGTTCAACTTCGAGGGATATATAATACTTTAAAACAAAGCAAGTTTGTTTTAGACGCCGAACGAAAAAAAACTGCATATGCGACTTTTGTTTCATTAAAAAATAGAAGGGAAAAGAAGCAGAGGAAGTCCTAGATGCAGTTACTTCGAATAAGTGAAAGAAAATATAAACGTGTGTCATATTAGAGTCGAGTTGATTGAACGAGGATAGGGAACAATAGAAGTAACTCTACTGACAAGAGTATTGCTCCTAAATAGATTTATTCCGATAAAAAAACTCAAATCATTTTCCTTCGGGCGCAGTAGGAAGGGTTCCCGCGTATATGAGGGTATGCCCAGGATCTTAGTGGGCCCTTTGACATGATCAGTGGTAGGCTAGAATGTATCGCATTTTCCCTGAGTAAAAAAAAAATTCACAGTAATGATCGCAATAGATGACGTTGCATTACGCGATCCATGATGCAAAATTATTTGAAATACTATCCACGATCCACCCAATGATCTGTGCCCTTGATTGCCGATCCAATATATATCGTTAGGTGTAAATGAGGCTTTTAAAATTCAGTGCACGAACCATGGTCCTGGCTCTCAGTTTGTTAGATCGCCGATCTACGATGAATCGTTTGATCTGGATTGGATTAACCTGTTTTGAAGCAGGTATTAATGAAAAGCTTTATCCGCTGTTGTTATTAAGTTAGTTAATATTAACTTTCCGAGTGATTTTAGTATGTATGTTTTTTTTTATAGCTAGATTTTATTTTGAAATGTATGGACCCAGATTTGATTAACTGAGAACTATTTCGGGAGTGCATTGTAGTTGCATTGCACTTGTTACCAATTTGTGCAATATCACTACAAGGCAAATCTCGCATTAGTTACAGTCACCGCTTTTGAAGATCGCAGTTTTTGTTTTATTTTGTGTAAGTATTTTTTGCTGCGTTTTATGAAGAAAATGTGTTTATTTCGCTGTTTTCTTTTTATGTATTATGTAAAATTATTTGGTTAAGTAATATGATTTAAATTATTATTTAGTAGTGTGTTTAAGATCAATAAACTTATGTAAAGTCTACAAAAAGTTATAAATCAAACTGCTTACTTATAATTGTAAGATTATTTTCTGTGTCACTAATAGTATAGTAAACAGTACTAATAGTAAAGAGCTGTAATAAATGAATGCATGACATTCCTAACAAGCATAGTTTAGGGTAGCGCCCTCTCTACACAGTAGCCAATAGTGTGGCGATTTTGTTTGACCGATATGTTGGCGAACAAGTTGGCGCGACATTTGCCGATGCAAAAATCACAATCTATATTTGCCATAACATTCGCCATGATGTTGGTTAATCTACATGGCTGCACGTCAGTCTACCACAATATGTCCAATTCCCTAGTGATATTGTACTCTATAGTCAATAAATCAAGGTTCATAATCAAAGTGGAAAATTTTGACAGTTTTGTATAGCCTGACGTGCTGTTGGGTAAATAAACTAAATACATAAAAAAAAGATGTTTATAATTCTCACTCATTTAAATTACATGCAAATGTGTACTTTTATATTGTAATTAAAGGCGCCTTCTTCGTATTAGGTATTGGCAAACATTTAACAAAACGCACACCTAACGTCATTTCCAACCTGACGACAAATCACATGTCTATCGATAAAATATAAAAATAATATAAAAAAGCGTTACGACAGTGCCTTTTCGATAATTACTTTTAAAACAAAGGTGTATTAGTGCTAAAGCTTATTAAATGGAACTATGTTTTCGTCATTTTCGTAAAAACACGTCAAACTGCGAATTCTTCTAACTCTTTGGCACAAAGAACACAGGTCTCGTGCCCGCGCCTTCTTTGTTCGCCAACAAGACATAGAGTAAGTGGACGTGTCTAAGAAGTCATTACCATAATCATCACTATCATTCTATTATCATCATTTCCATCACTACCAAAAATTTATAAATATAGATATCACTTAAAAAAGAAACATCTTACAAGAGCCTTTTACATATAAGTATTATTTTTGTTTCTAATCCATTATTCTCAGTTGAAAATTCATAACATAGTGTTTATAAAAAGTTTAGTTTAATTACCCTGTTGGCTATATAATGTGAGTTCATCCAATAAAAGTTGGTACTGGACAGTTGATGCAAGTGTTATGCTGCGATTGGTTGCTGGAGGTCCGCGCGGGGGTGTGGGAGCAGGCGAGCGGTTCCGCGCCGGCGTCGCACGCGCAGCTGCGCGGCTACCAGCGGGACTTGCACTCGTTGCGACGGATCTCGCAGAAGTTGCCGGTAAATACATTTATTAGGGTAGTTGGTTACGTGCCCTGAAGGGGCAACGAACCTTCGACCGGAGCGGAATTCTTAATACTAATACAATTATACAAAGATATACCGCGATTCAGATGGCCACAGCGCTATCTATCGAATTGAGAGTAACCAATGTCATCATCATCATCAGCCCTTTTACGTCCCCACTGCAGGGGCTCAGGCCTTCCTTACGGATGGTGAAGGAGGATGGGCCATGACCCTCCTCGCTGGCCCAATGCGGATTGGAGGGTATTAACGACTGCAAATGCAGCCGGGACCAACGGCTTAACGTGCCTTCCGAAGCATGGAGTATCTCGAGATAATAATTTTTTGGTCACCCATCCCGTGACCGACCCTTGCGAAAGTTGCTTAACGACTACGATCACGGGCCGCAGCGCTAATCCACTACGCCACCGAGCTACTCAATGTATTTAACCAATGTAACCAATGTATTTGACTGCAATCGTTTTAGTACGATTTTTGGTGCTACAATAGTTAATAACAACACGAAATTATAAACAACGAAGTTATTTTGGTCCTGTAAGTCACGTGATAGGTTATAAATTTATGAAATTGAATGGCGCCTTTCAATTGCATGATTAGCCACAAAATTGAACAGCTACTTTAACCAGTTGGCTGCGACATACATACGTATATATAACCTTACATAAACTATATATCTCACTGTTACAGTGGACGACGACTCGTGTATTCTTACATTCAGCGGTGTACCGTATGATGGCGGGCGCGGCGCCTAGACGCACTCAACAACTGCTCGACGGTAGTCTGCGGCCGCGGTTTAACAGGACTTCCATTATTTGTGGGAAAGGTTAGCACTTACAATTATATAATTTATTGATTAAAATGACTTTTATATGCTATCATCATCAGCCCTTTTACATCCCCACTACGGGGGGCTCAAGCCATGACTCTACACGCTGACCTGATGCGGATTGGCGGGTATTAACGACTGCAAATGCAGCCGGGATCAATAGCTTATGTGCCTTCCGGAGCATGGAGTAGTTCGAGATAATATTTTTTTTTGTCACCGTTCCCGTGAGCGACCCTTGCGCAAGTTACTTAACAACTACGATCGCGGCCATGGCGGTTTTTCACTACGCCACCGAGCTATAGTTTTGAGTAAAAACAAAATGAGTTATTTACTAATTTCAGACTGTTTAAAATTGATTGTTTCACTTGGTTTTTGTTGTTAACGGTTCATCATTCATCAGCAGCCTGTTGATATCTCTGTAAGGGCACATGCCTATCCTATCGATGCAATCAAATAATGTCGCCATCTCTGAGGATGAATATAAATGGTATTTGTGTTGTGGTTCCTTCGTTGTTCAAGATTTTCATAATACAAGTAAATGTTTTAGCTACTTATTGTGCTGTTGTCTAATATTTATTTTAAAAATTCACTGTTTATAGAGCGGGCTTTAGAGAGTGGCGGCGGTGAAGGTGAGAGAGCGGTAGCACTATACATGGCCTGTAAACATCTCCCACCGGCGATATTGGCCACACCCGGAGAGAGAGCCGGCATGTTGGCACAAGCGGCCGCTATGCTTCTGAAGATCGGTCACCGCAGTCGACTACCGCATTGCTACCACCTCATGAAATCTGTGGGAACACTGCCCAGCTCACCATGACGTCCGCACTACGAATCTATATTTTACGATGCCGAAGATACGTTTTTTAAAATACCTAATAAACAGTGGGGAGCTTAACATGTAATGTTTTCCAGTTATGAAATTAATCGAAAATCGTGTACGTGTGAACACATGTTTCAGTTTTGTTTGTCCATAGATTTATAGATGGTGACACTTGTCTGTCTTATCTCTAGTGTGTCTTTTGTATTTTGTTATATTTACCATTTAATACGGCTTTATAATTGAACAAAATGAAATTGAACCTTTATGGTGACGTGATAAATAGGTAGGTACTGAAATTTAGTATATAGCAACTGTATAACGAGTTGCTTTTATAAAATAAAGGTAAAGACATCCATTCAATTAGGATTATTATTCGACGTAGATGGCAGCACTAGTAGGAGTAGTATAAAAAAAATCGTACGTACTACTTCCTTCCTATAGGAAGCAAATAGTAATACGTATGTAATGCTGTGGCATTAATGTATTATTGGATAAAATATTCTTTGACGTTTATAAAAAACTGTTTACTATTGTGCTAGTGCTGCTTTCTGTCGCCAGAAAGTTGCTGTTATACGTGCTATTATAGTTAGTAGTTAATAAATATTAAGTGTATGGGATGTATATGATACATCTCACTCAAATTATATAATGGTATAATTTCAAAATTTTTTATACAATTTTGAACCCATTATATTCTGAAGTAATAATATGTAGGTAGGTACATCGCATACTTTTGGTACGCTTTGAACTTCATTATGAATTAGGTTATTTAACCAATTTAATAACACTGCAAATTAATGCATTGTAATTTTCTATGAACACTAAGTATATAGCAGATGTTTTGGTAGATTTAATAAGGAATTTTTCGACAATGCCGTGTTATTTTTGTTATTGATAGTACAGTTAACTTTTCATATGTATCATAAGTTTAATCTTTATATTTAATGTCAATTTGATTGGCTTTTACAGTGTTATTTTGAGTGTATAATAATCAACGTAATTAGTTTCGACACGTTATTTCGTTGTGCCTAATTTATTTTGAAATGTAGCTAACAATAAGCATATTTATAAAATTATAGATACCAAAATATTCAGTATGCAATGATTGTAAGTATAAAATATTATTATCATAGATTTGTAAATTACTATGATTTCAAAAATCAAAAAAATTTGCAAATATAGTTGACTGTTTAAACTTTTTAAATAAATTTTTTTACAACAATTTTTTTATTGTTTTTAATCACTAGTTACTTGTTGAGTATATTGTCTAGGTCAATTAAATTTTTGTTATAAAATGTTCAAATAATCCATCTCATCTTATTTATCCCCATTTTAGGATCAACAATTGTTATTTATTAGTTCAAAATCCACTCATAATCGTCACTCATAGAGTAAATAAAAAAACCTGCCATGTGCGAATAACACTCACGGACGTAGTGTTCCTTACCATTATAAAGATTTTTTTTCCAGTGCGAAAATTTTTTTGGGGATTCAGTATCAGTAATAGAACACTTTTCCATAATTAGTAAATTTTTTTTTTATAAATCTTCAATGAATACGTCTCCCTCTTGCGTATACCATCGTGCATCTCCGCCGCGCCCGGGTGCGCACAATGCCACTTAAGGTTCGCAATTTTTTGGGCTATGTCGGTGACTTTCGTTCTTCTGCGGATCTCATCATTTCTGATTCGATCTCGCAAAGAAACCCCGAGCATAGCCCTTTCGATCGCCCTCTGAGCGACCTTGAGCTTCCTTATGAGGCCCATCGTAAGCGGCCACGTCTCGAAACCGTATGTCATCACTGGCAACACGCACGAATTAAAGACTTTCGTCTTGAGACACTGCGGTAGATGTTCCGAGAATATACTGCGTAGCTTCCCGAACGCTGCCCAGCCGAGTTAAATTATTCCTGTATATAAAATACACAAAAAAGAACAATTATTTAATTTATTCTTTTTAGTATTTGTTGTTATAGCGGCAACAGAAAATACATTTCATAGACAGACTGACAGGAAGCGGAGACTTATAGGGCCCCGTTTTACGGAACCCTAAACACTATAATTTTAGTGTCCAAATAAATTGCAACAATACGTGATACGTGAAAATGTAATACTTCGGGCTCGCAGTGCCAGGTTCTTGGATTTTTTTAAGAGAACAACTCAACAACCCATACAACATTTTGCCGTTCTGACTATTCTAATCGAATTTTCTAGTCTCCAATTATTGTGTCGGTCGACATATTAATATAGATCGATAAAACAAATCAAATTTGCAACGCATGCCGAAGAATTATTCTATAAGCATCTTGCTAAGAACTAGAGGTGGTTAAATTATTGCTTAGCGTTTTAATTTAACACGTTATGACGTTAAAAATTGAGCATGTTAACGCGCAACGATCATTAGCGCCCGAAGTCGAGCGGCCAGTATTCGTGCAGACGTGAATGCTAATGTACTAATGGATGAGAGAACGATTTCTTCTTGCAGTACGTTTAATAAACATTGCACGCGAAACCGATCTTGGATCAACGTGAAGGTGCGAATGTTAATGTAAGCGGTAACGATTTATTCCCATAGCATGTTAAATATGATCGTGTATTATTAACATTGCTAAGTTAGTTGATATTTTTGATTTTTTAGATTAAAGGGCGATTATGTGAGTAAAATAAAAAAAATGTAAAGTAAATAAATATATAGTTTTAATTAGATATAAATTTATGTATATTTTCGACATGATGAATAATGATAATTACGTATAAATTAAGTTCGTAATTTATCAATACAAATACGAAAAAGTCGAAATAGAATATGAGTTGTTTATTGAGATTTGAATACTAAGTCATGCAGAAATCAAGAACGTACCGTAGTGACATCTAGTTCGATTTTTGGTACTATTAATTTTAAATACTTTTCATGATGAGGAAAATTAAAGATAAATTCTTTATACGTAATAATACTAAAGATCGATTTTCTATCTTTGCAATGATCTTGAGATCGATCTGGGTGGCAAAAATCATTCAAAAAATGAAAAGTCGAAATCAAACAGATCAATTTCGATAAAATCGAATTGAGGTCGGAATCCCTACCCTAGAAATAACTAGTACTGTCACTGTCACTGTCTGTGCAGGAAAATGGGAGATGTTTGGTGTTTTGATGCTAAATAATCAATATTCGATGAGCCTCAAGGAAAAACTTATTACCTACTGTAAAGGTTTTTTAATATTTGACGAGATATTTAGAAAATAATTTCTGATAATCTACATTTGCGGCAATGGTGAGTATAAGTGTTTTTTTTTAAATTAAGAAATTATTTCTTTTGTACTACTTTGGATATAATTATATTGCAATTTTAGGCAACTGCTGTGGTTAATAATCAGAAGAAAACAGTGCCTTCTACCAATGTACCCACCGGAGGAGTGCGTAAAAAATCTGGACCAAAGTTTGAATTAACTGAAGAGCAGAGACGTGATATAAAAGAAGCGTTCGATCTATTTGACACAGAAAATACAGGAAAAATAGATACAAAAGAATTAAAAGTAGCAATAAGAGCTTTAGGTTTTGAACCAAAGAAAGAAGAAATAAAAAAAATGATAGCTGAAATAGATAAAGGTGATGGAAAAGTATCCTTTACAGATTTTCTTGATTTGATGACAGTGAAAATGGCTGAGAAAGATACCAAAGAAGAAATAATGAAAGCCTTTAAACTCTTTGATGATGATGAAACAGGTATGCTCATAAATAAATTTTATTGTCAAATCTTAATGCTATTAAAATAATTATTATCAATGTTGAATATTGTTTTAGGTAAAATATCATTTAAAAACCTTAAAAGGGTGGCAAAGGAACTTGGAGAAAATTTAACTGATGAAGAACTGCATGAAATGATAGATGAGGCAGATAGGGATGGAGATGGAGAAATCAATCAAGAAGAGTTCTTGAGGATAATGAAAAAGACAAGTCTTTATTAAATATTATGGCACAAATATGTACAAAGTACATCAAATACTTTGGGAATTAAAAATGTTCAGTGATAAATAAGGTTTTTATAGCTAAAGAATCTATTGTAAGCAGTATTATTTATAAATATTTGCAGTGCTATGTTTGCAAACTTCAGTATATTGATATTGGTAATATTACTTAATTTTATGGTGCACTATTTGAAGAGCATTATTATCAACATTATTTAATTAAATGTACCTATCAAATTATTTATTACATGGATATTTTCAATGCTAAGCATTTGATGTGTATCTAAAATATTAGTTGTGAATATGCACAATTCTTTTTGTCTTATAAATTTTTTCTAATTTTCTTATAAATTAGAAAAAAGTTTACATTCTTAAATATATTTATCCTATTGCCAGACTACTGATGAAAATTGTCATTCCAATAATTTTTGGCTTTCTTGCTGTTAAATAAAAATTAAACTCGTATTATTATAATTGAGATATTCTAAATAATAAATCTTATTTTCAATAATCTCGTTGGATTGCATGCTATGATGAGAATCTTTTTTATCCTACATGCATGGTAATATGTTCACTATTATAATATTAATTTTTTAAACGATATATATTAATAATAAAAGTTAGATGATGATTGAATGTTTGTTGATGTTGCTAAGTGTACTATGTTCTTTATAGAAAGATGGTGAAAACAACACAGTACCTATATTTTCTAGGTGGTCTATTTACAATTACATATCAGTATGATCCGAATCTGTTGCTTTTGGCTTTTATTTCAAGTAAGACCATTACATACCTATGTACTATTTACACAATGCATAGACCTAATGTAAATGATGGAGAATCCTGTATGTTATTATAGTATGTCATAGGCTTCATGAAATGAAACTAGATTGAAAATGAATCCATGCCTTGTCATTTTATCCTCCTAATATATTTTTTTAAGATATTTAAAACTCAAATATATGGAGATTTTAATGAAAATAATGCAGTAATATGAAATTTGGCATAATTATATGGAGAATTGCAAAAACCTAATAATTTTTATAGTACACTTAATGGAACTTACTAAAACTTTTGATACGCCATCATTTCTTTGACAGGCAGATATATAATTTTATTTTAAATAAATAATATATTGCATTTTTAGTTTATCATTTAAAATTAAATTATTGGTGACCATAGTAAACACTATTTTTATTCAAACTGCATAAAAAATGTATTAATTTTTGACTTAATTGTCAAAAGATTTAATAAATTGATTGGAAGAATTTGACTTTTTGTATTTAATACTGTTAATACCTGTATAGAATTTAAGAATTACTCAAGTCTTGAATTCAAATTTATATTTTTTTATAAAATTGTTAAGGGTGAAAAACTTGTGTTAACTAATATAAAGCAGAATTATAACATTTTTATATCTGTTATCTTTAAGGGAAAGGTTATACAATTTAAAGTAAATAATGTAAAACGGTCAATATTTTGATGCTTGTATTTTCATTGTGAATCAGTACACATCTATTTTACCCAATATATGATATTTTAAGGCCACAGGAAAACTTTTAATGTCATTCAGTGTCACTGATTTGAACTTTGTCTCCTATTGAAATATGTTGATATGATAAAAATACATAGGTCTGATTACCATAGTACTACTTGTACAAATTAACATGAAACCTGAAGGCCTATGCTATTTCTCCAAAAACGAAATTTCATCTATTATCAAAATGCTAATGATTCCAAAGAAATGCATTTTTCGGTAATTTATGATGCAATGGATGTAGTACAGGACACTGCTTCCCATGCACAGATAATCATCATGAATATAATTTTAATGAAATTATAAGAACTTATCAAAATTTTCTAATTTTTCATTTGAGGACAAATCAAATAGGCCCCTGGGTGTCATGTTAAAGCACACAATTAGTACACATTTTTCTTACTGCTTTTGGCAGGAAAAAGACAAAATCTTGTCAAAAAATACCTCTTTTAGAATACATTTAACATTCTGTATAAAAAAATATTGTCATAAAGCTAATAGGATTTAACAGTAACATTTCATAATACAACAATTACTTAAAACAAGATTAAGGCATCTAATCTACATGCATAATAAAACTTGACATTTTAACTTTCAACAGTGTTATTACAAAAGAGACGTTAAACAGTGTTTTATCTAAACTGTGTTTAAGAATATAAACCCTGTTTAAAATGATGTCTAATTTTTCCTATTACAAATTCATTTTTAAACATTGTCTAAGTAAAGAAACATTCGTACTACTGGCTTTCATTCGTTCATACACGTTCAATTCTATGCATGCTGTATACAAACTTATAATAAATTTTAGACGTAAAAAGATATCTTTTAAACACACTAGTTAATAATTTTTGTAAATGAAAATATTTAATCTAAAATTATCATTTTTAATTTAAATTCAAAGACATAATTCTTATCAAAGTCAAAACTATAGTGAAATATTGTGAAACGTAAGATACTCGATAAACAACATATCATGTGTCAACATGACATGTGTTTAAATTTTAAACAATGTTAAAGGGTTGTTTTGCCTTAACCAATGCTCAAATAGAACAATTTTTAAACACGTGTTTAACGCGTGTTTATCTTTTTTGTAATAACACTGTATGTGTTCAGGTTTTAAACAGTGGTAAATTCTATTTTTAAATATTAATTCACATTGCTGTTTTAAAATATATTTTGAATCTTACATATAACTTAAGATAATGATTTTTACAAACTGCTTGAATAAAAATCACTATAAATGAAGTAAACGCAAAGTATTAAAATGTACAATTATTGTACATGTACAAATAAAGTCTGGTTAGGAAAGTAATTTTTAAAATGTAATATTTACAATGAAGCTGATCGTTCAATCACAATTCCTTCTGGCTGGCCAAAGTAAGCTTTATGACACATATTTACAAATAAGCCAGTTTCCACTACTCCCGGTATATTTTTTATAGCTGTTGACACATTATGCCAATCTAAATCTTGATTGGTAAATAGCCAGTCTAGAATGAAGTTACCATTATCTGTTACTACAGGACCTGCTTTTGCAACAGCACTTCTCAATTTAATATCCCCTCCATATACAGATACAATTTTATTTTTAATGGGAACATATGCCATAGGAATTACTTCTATAGGTATACCCTTTTTATATCTTTCACCCAATTTCTTTGAATCTTTGGTGTAATCTGCTATAACAATCATTATTTTGGAACACGAAGCCACAATCTTTTCTTGTAATAAGCATCCACCGCCCCCCTTGATTAGAGTCATGTTGGCGTCCACTTCATCGGCGCCGTCGATGGTAACATCGAGGATAGGATTAGTATCAAGCTCTCCTAAAGTGAGGTTATGTTTGAAGATTAGCTGCTTTGCCTGAAAGGATGTCGGTATACAGGTCACCTTCAAATTTTCAGTTTCAACCTTTTCGGCGAGGCGTTGTACAGCGTAGACTACAGTAGATCCACTGCCCACACCGAAAACACAATTATTCGTAACAAATTCATCTACCGCTCGATATGCGGCAACTTGTTTAGCTTTTTCCAGAGACATTGTACTTAAAAAAACAGGTCTAAATTTAAGAATTCCGCGGACACTAAAGCACTTGTTGACTATGAGACACATGTAGTTCACAGACTTAGTAGGTATCAGACGACCAACTTCCTAACAAAAAATTTCTTCGTAGAACGTGATTGGGAGCCAGTGATACATGACAGCTTCATTCGTTTTAAATATATAGATCTACTATCGGCAAAGGCATTTAGCTATACAGCCCTGTTTTGGGTAGGTACCTAGCCGTCTTCCTAGTTTCCACATTATTTTTACTTTAATTTAAATTCCTTTTTTGTTTTAATACAACAATAATAATAAAGCAGACTGATAAGTCTAGCTTATTATTATTGTTGTATTAAAACAAAAAAGGAAAAATGAACACGTAAATAAAACACACATTTTTCCAATATTATTTATTGAATAATTTATTTTTTAACTTATTATATTTTTCACAGCTCTCTTCTGCATTCTCGGCAATTCCTAGCTACGTTTTTTTAGTGGCACAACCTTATGAAACTTTTCAAGGTAATCACAATTTTTTTTAAAGAGGGCACTGATTTTTGCATACCTTTTTATACACATATTTAAGTTTTTCTAAAATTTCAATTGCCTTTGGCCAGAAAGAATGATGGTGTGTCTTATCTGTCACAGCTCTTTTCCTTTATGCTTTTTTTGTTTATCGATGCTCCATTGACACTATCAAATAATTGGTCAAAGAATGAAACAACTTCAGCTGCATTTCTTAATGTTGTGCACATCCTCATAAGTTGCTGCAAATTAAAATATTCATATAATAATTGTATGAAACTTGATTCAAAACAATTAACTGTTAGTAAATTTCATCTAATACTCACAGAAATTTGCAGTGTAAGACAAAGCTGCAGACATATTTTTACACAATTTTTTACCTGCAAAAAGAGATATCATATTTAAAATTATCTTCATTAGAGAATCATTATTGTAATTTAAGTGTAAACTATATTAACTACTTGTTACATAATTAAAAATACAGGTCATTGAATCAACACTTGCTCTGATAGAGAATATAGAAGCTGAATACAAATTATTTATTTTATTTATACTAATTTAAGTTATACTAATATAATAACCAATGCATTACCTTCATCTTTTTAATTTTATCAGGTATAACTCATTGGTCATTTAATTTATGACGTAGCCCAGCTTCAGTGTGTTGACAGTCTGTCTCATAGACATAAATAATATCATGCCATTTTGCAAGTTTACCACCAAAATTATTCCTGATACATTTTATCAAGTGTGTAGAATCATAATGTTCAAATCCACCCCACATATTTTAAGAATGCCAACTGAAACAAAAATTTAAGAACTTCTTAAAACATAGATAACAATATAAAAATAAGAACCTTCACTACTTTCATTAAATCTATTAGTTTTCTTTCATATAAATATAATTCTCTGTACCAACCTGTGATTTCAATTTAAAATTTGATCACACTAAGTGTCTTCTTTTAGATTTTTGAGTGCTGATTGGAAAGCTGAGCCTTGGTCATATATTATTGCGATGGGATTAAGGTCCAATTCAACAACTTTTTCTACTACTAACTTTAAAATATTCTTGATGTACAGTAGATGTCGCTCCTTGACAGAAATAAATAAACATAAAGGCTGTTGCCACTTGTAAACAGCACCAACATAAATACAAGAGTATGATCTGCAAAATCCACTTTCTTTTCTTGGTGTTCTACAAATCCATTAATGTTATCTTTAATCCTTATTACTTTTATTATACGAAAGTGCTGTTTCTAATGACATCTCATCAAATATAATGGAGCATATTTTTTTGGAGTTTCATTTGTCCACCTGAAAAAGTAAATTCAAATAGTAGTAGAAAAAGAAAATATTATTATTTGGTAGTAATACATAAAATTATAAAAGTAGTATGAAAAAACTTATATGGAATATATTTACCTCTTACATGAAGCCTGGTTCTATGATCAATTTTCTAATCATAGTATTCAGTGTAGTTTTGGATGATAAAATAAAAAATTTTGCTTAAAAATCAATAACACTTTGGACTCTGCTTTGATATTGATAAAGCAATTATCTTTTCTTCGGTAGTGAATCACCTCTCATGTTTATTTTTAGAGCACATGCTCACATGCATTTCAAAAACATTTTTGCAACTGTGTTCATTTTTTGTCTGAACTTCTCAAATGATAACTTTTTACAAAACTTAAAGGTATTTAAGTATTCTTAACTTTTTTAAGAAAGTTAAACTACGTCTTTGGCTTGTTATATTCTTCATAAATTCTCTGGTATAAAGGTGACAATTGGCTTTATTTGGTAATAAGCCTTTTCCTTTTTGTTTGGGTACATTTCACAGGGTCTGTAACATCAAAAGTATTCAGTGAATTTCTCTATTAGAACTACTATTTGATTGAAATAAAGATACACTAAAGAAAGAGACAGGTCTTACCAGATAGTTTAGTTTGTGTCATATTTTAATCTCCAGAGCAAGCAACTAATTGAGTAAACTCAGTGGCTGCAGACACAGGAGTCTCAATTTGTTCTTTTAAAATTACACCACCTATGAAATCAATATTGATTATGTGTGTAAGATTAAAAAACAGGATATAATCTTAGATGATATTAGAAATATGTTATTTATATTATCAATTTTTTCTCTGATCAAAATCACTTCTAGCGTGCCCGCTAGAGTTAAGTAACTTAATGTAATTTTTCTTTATATGTGTAAGAAAGAGAGATCTACTAGACTTTTTTAAAGTAAAAATCTATATTAAAATACACCAAAACTGCAGCATGAACTTTGTTATCTAAATAAAGTAAATTAAAAACAAACCTCTGTTCAGTTCCACTTTCTAATATGTGTGGTCAACATGACTTTTTCTTGCATAGCTGTGTTCCCAAGTGAATATAATTTCTGTAATAAAAAAAAATCTAATGAAGAATAGCTGTATTCCAAAACACAACATAAAGTGAAGATACATATCATTTTAATTACATTATCTAAAGGTAATAGCAGATTAAACCAGCCTTACCAGTATTGCTTGAAGAGGGTAGGCTGATTGAGAGCCCATCATCATTAAACAATGACGGATATGCATCACCCAAGAGTCATGATTTTGGAGTGATGAATCTTGGTACATCGTGTTTGCTACAAATGACACTTCTGCCTGGATTAAAATTTTCAGTATCACACACAGCACTAAGACATTGTAACCACTTGGAGAATCTTTTCTCGTTCACTAGAATCTTACAAAGAATAGCGTCCTGTTCGTACTTTAACAATGCGTGTAACACAACCATAACACAACACACCAATTTCTTAGGCATCTTCTACAAATAAAAATACTTCGAAAAATGGAGAGTTTATATTACAAATAAAGCGAACAGGGTAAGCACAAAAGAAACTTTACTCAATCACTTGTAATTCCCTGATATGTAGGTACATACTTTAGTCTTCTTCTTCTTTTATTAATGGCATATCTGCGCATTTCACACAATTTTGCCAATGTGAAATGAATAAATTAATTCCAACAAGTAAAATTAATTAAAGATTAATTAAAACATTAGTATCTTTACTCTTTGTTGTAATGACAGTTTCTGTCAGGTGTCATGTCTCCATCTACTAACAGGGGTGAGGGGCGTGTGGAAATGTCATACATCACTGGACCCCTACGGGATTGGTTTATTGTACGGAGTTGACGGGCCGTAGATGGTAATACATCATGTAGTTTATGTGTGTGTGTGTGTTTGTTTTTTTTAAAATTGGCTTGGATGCAAAGTCATAGAAGCGAAGCTAAAACTTTGTAATAAACATACCCTGTCTTTGATTTCATAAATATAAAGAAAATTTAGCACTTTTTCATTCAAAATCCCCCAAAGAATCCTCAATTAACGTAAGCACAGAACAATAATAAGGTGAGTACGAAGCACAGAACAAAAGTACTCTACGTTTTTCCCGCGATATATTGGCTTTCGATATTTATTTTCAGATATCAAATTCGATTTTTTATTTTTTATTTCTGGTGTCTGCACATGCGTCACGTCATGTATTTCTTAAATTTAGAAAAAGAGTAGGTGGACAGTAGGCTGTATGAGTTTAGTCTATGACCTGTTTGTGTTTTTTGTTTCTCATTTTATTAGACATTGACACTGCTTGTTGGTTTAGTTGGTATCACTGAGTGTGCTCCTGATGACAATGTCAGAGAAATGCACGTTTGTTTGAACAATCTAATTTTGGTTCTGTTAATAATGTTGTTTTCTTAGCTTTATGTGCCTATTTTAACTAATAAATCTGATATCAAAACAGCCAGGTGTGTAGTTGCTTCAAAATTTCGAATATTTTGAAATTATCATTGATAATCGCTAAATACGCAGAACATATCGATATGTCAATATATCGATATATTTTTGATGATATATATCGATATATTTGAAAAATATCGATTCGATATATTTCGATATTTTTTTTCCATTTGCCCATCCCTACTGGGCGCCGTCAAGTGAAGGGCAAGTTCTGTTGAACTGGCCGAACATTGATCGACTATCAGTCCCTATAACTGCTTCAGTTCGACTATGTGCCTAGAAAGATAATCAGATCTTGAAATTTTATCCATTGATATTGCCCAACAGTTAGATTATTCCAATTTAATAAAAAAATTCGCATGCGTAAAAATATAAAAGTTTTATTCTAGTTTTAACTGTCTTCAAAATCCAAAAGGAGGTAGTTACATGGTCGACGACGATGTATTTAAAATTATAGAAGGGGAAATAACATTTGGTCGAATTGATCCCTCTTTTTTTTTGAAGTCAGTTATACATGAAAAAAAAAAAATATTATTTATCTTTGCTAAGTAATCAGGTGATAACTATTACTATATTAGGGTGCAAGATTTCATGGTGGCTTTATTTTTGTACTTTATTTTTGTAAGGCCTCCATGCATGCGCCACCATGAAATCTTGCACCCTTTATTCAATCTTCTCTATGTCTTGCATCGCCTAAAAATTAAGCTAGGACCACCTCTGTAAGTAAGAAACGACCGTTTCAATAGACGGCTTAGTGCTAGTGATGCGACTCCAGTCACTCGAGTGAATTTGTCAAACTTGTGTTCGATTGAAAACAAATGCACTCAAGTATCGAGTCAACTCGGCACATTCTGCTG